CTCATCCTTGCTCCTCCTCGCTCTCTCCTCCTCCTCCTCCTCCTCCTCCTCATCATCCTCCTCCTCCTCTTCTCCTCCTCCTTCCTCCTCTCGTCCTTCTCATTCCTCTGCTCCTACATCTCCTTCTCCCCTCCTCCCCCTCCTCCTCCTCTCCTCCTTCTCCTTCTCCTCCTCTCCTATCCTCTCCTCTCCTCCTCATCCTCCTTCCTCCTCCCTCCTCCTCCTCCTCCTCTCTTCTCCTCCCCCTCCTCCTGAGCCATTCCTCTCGTAAGCGGCCCGCGCGCACGTTCCTTCCGAGTTCAGGATGCCAAGCTTGGGAATGACACTGGCACCTGGAGCCCCATGCACCTCCTCTGCTGCGGTCTAGGCCGCCAGACGGAGTGCCCGGCAGAGGGGAAGGCGCGCAGGAGACCTGCAGCACGGCGAGTGTGATGCACCCGGCCTCGTGCCTCTTCCTCCTGTTCTGCTTGCCATTCCTCGTCGGCCTCTGGGTGCAAGCAAGCAGCTCGGCTGGGCGCACTGCGCGCAGGAGCAGGGCTAGGCGGCTGATGACGGACGGGGGGAGGATTGCTTGCTGTAGCCCTGCGGCGAGGCTAGCGGCCCACATGGCGGCAGGCTCGGGCCCGACCTGCCCTGCACGAAGAGCGCGCCGCCACCTGCAAGGCATCGCGGCAGAGGGACATCGTGCCCGTCGTGGAGGGGTGCCGCGGCTGTCGTGGCTGAGCCTGGCCCAGGCCCTGCGGGGCAAGCAAGCAGCAAGGCAGACGCGGGGCAGCTGGCCTACGAGCTCCACTACTGCTGTTTTGGCAGCAGTGTTGGTGGGTTGTTTTACCAATCAGCTGGCGAAGTTCATGCTGGGTTCATTCTGCGGTCGCGTTCATGTTCTCAGCTTTCTATTGAGCTGGCAAAGTACGCTGCGTACGTCAACGTTTCCAGTTTGATTTGGTGTGTGTGTGGAGGTGTCCTCAAGGATCAGAGCTTCTCTTGAGTGTGTGTGTGTGTGCAGCGTTTGTGGTCATTCATTGCTTTGCAGCGCACTCTCATCAGTTGTGTTTCTTGGCATCGGTTGGCTTTGGCAAATCCCGCACGGTCGGATGATGGCCCCCACACGCAAGAGCGGGAGCGCCCACGTAAGTCATAGCTCGCACGGTGCGAGCCCTTTTGCGCCCTCCATCTGCGTGGGAGAAAGTGTAGCATAATCCGTCGCACCATCCTCCCCCCCCTCGCCCCCGAGGCGGGGCTCCCTGCCCCCCGTGCCTCGTCTTCCCTATCCCTCCTCCTCCTCCTCCTCCACCTCCTCCTCCTCCTCCTCCTCCACCTCCTCTTCCTCCTCCTCCATCCACTTTTTCTTCTTCTTCTTACTATTTGCCGCCCTCCTCCTCCTCCTGCTCCTGCTCCTCCTCCTGCCCCCTCGCCGCCCCTCCTCCTCCCCCCCTCCGTCCTCGGGCCCCCGCTCCGAGCCGCAGGCGGCGGGGAGCGGGCGCGCCCTCCCCCCCCCCCCCCGGGCGCCCAGGCGGCGCCCTCGGCGGCGGAACTCCCGTGGCAGGGCGGCGGCGGCGGCGGGCTGTCGCTGCTGAGCACGCCAGGGCCCCGGGCTCGGGCCGCTCCTCTCTCTCTCTCTCTCTCCCTCTCTCTTTTTGTATATGTACATGTACACATGTAATGCTTTTGTTACTTGTATGTGTTCGTTTATCTGTATGTATGGATGTATGTACGTATGTATGCATGCATGCATGCATGCATGTATGCATGTATGTATGTATGTATGCATGCATGCATGTATGTATGTATGCATGCATGTATGTATGTATATATATGTATATATGTATGTATGTATGCATGCATGCATGCATGCATGCATGTATGTCTATCTATGTATACATGTATGGTATATATATATATATATATATGTATACATGCATGTATGTACGTATGCATGCATATGTGTATGTATGTATGTATGTATGTATGTATGCATGTATGTATGTATGTATGTATGTATGTATGTATGTATGTATGTATGTATGTATGTATGTATGTATGCTTGCATGCATGTAGGTAGGTATGTAATGTATGTATGGATGTACGCATGTATGTGTGTATGTATGCATGCATGTATATACAGGCGTAGGTATGCATGTATGTATGTATGCATGTATGTATGTATGCATGTATGTTTGCATGCATGCATGCATGCATGCATGCATGCATGCATGCAGGTATGTATGCATGCATGCATGCATGCATGTATGTACATATAGTCTTATGAACCAGAGAAAAGCCCCAAACATTATTTTTCTGCGCTATTGGGCTGTAGCGCTATAGGGCAGTAAGGCTATAGGCTATAGGGCTATAGGGCTACCAGGCGCCCGTGCACCCGGGCACCTGGGCACCCGGGCACCCGGGCACCCAGGCACCCGGGCACCCGGACGTGCCGCCGAAATCGGCGCCGTACCTCACCTAACCATATGAATCCGCTGGGACCCCTACAGAGGCAAGCTCTGATTGGGGAATGGTTTCACTGTTTTTTCCCCGGCGGCAAGCTTAGCTGCCTCGATACGCCCTTTTTGAAACGCAGCACGCAGCGTGCTTCAGACTTCCGTGTTAATACGTTGCGTGTTGGCTCAGGGTATTGGCCCACGTTTTGTTAATGTGTCGCGACATACCTACGTTTTTGGTCTGCGTGTTGAGCTCCGTATCAATATGCTACGTGTTGCGTGTTGCGTATCGGGGCAGCTGAGGCGGCGAGCACGGGGGTGAAGTGAGAAGGAGAAGGCCCTCTCGAGAGTGCTGAGCACTTCCGGGTCCCCGAACGTCACGGTCCCGAGCGTTTCCCGAATCCCCACCCCGCGAAGCGGAGCGGCACGCTATCCACTCGCATGGCACAGCGTGTCGCTTGGGCTGCCGTGGCGGTTCCTGATCGCAGCTCGTTTTTCCAGGCGCTCTGGGTGAGCTTTCGACGACCCCGCCGCCTCTTCAGACCGGCCTGATTTGAAAGGCCGCGGCCATTCCTCCTGCCAGCGCTGCGCGCGCAGGAGCAAGGAAGAGGGGAGGGGAAACGAGGGGTGCTGCCTGACTGCGCCGCTCCACTTCGGAGGAGGCCTGGGAAGAGGGCGTGCCTTGGCAGAGCTGGCCCGGGAGGCCCCTCTCCTGCGCCCTTCTCTGGTGCAGCCGTGGGAGGCCGCGTCTGTATCGGCCAGTGATTCTCGCGGGTGGACAGAACCCCCAACAGTGACACGTCGATTAGTGAATTGTCCGTGTTCGGTTCTCGAGAGGGCGCCGTGGCCGTTATTTTCCAGGCTTGCGCCCGCCAGGTTTGGGCCTCAGGTCGTTTTCACTAAACCACGATTTACTAAAGCGGGGTCTGTCCATCCCCGAGATTCAGCGAGTGCTTCCGGTTGGCGCTGTAAAGGTAGCGTGCGATGTGGCGCCGCTCATCACGCGCCACACCCCACCTTTGGGGATAGCGCGCACCGAAGAAGCCCCAGCAGTCACCACCCACCAGACCACCCCAACCCAACCCGAAGGCTCAGATTTACCCTCGATTTCCAGTGGGGGGGGGGTGTCGGGAAACATCGAAAAAACACATGTGGAACCCTTACCCCCCCCCCAACCCGAAATTCGGGTCTTCGGGTTGGGTTGGGGTGGTCTGGTAGGTAGTCAAGCAGGGGGACAGCGTGCGCAGAAGGGGCCCTCGCGGGGTCATCGCCACCCAGGGGCAGCGTGCTTTTTCGAAGGCCGATGGCGGCCGAACGCGCCATGATCGAGTGTTTGGAGTAAACGTGTGGCTTCTTGAAACGGTGGAGGGAAACAATTAGTGGACATTCCCCCGCCCCCCAAAACTCCAAGTTGGCACGCGCGGGGAACATTTCGGTCGAAGTGCAACTCATCCAACCCACCGCCAACATCGATCATTGAGGGGGGGCATTGACACATGAATGTGGCATGAGTGTTCGCTAATTTTTTCCGAGGCCTAAAATGAATTTTCAAATCTCGAGCAGTCTGGCCAAAACCTGGGCCCAGGTCGTCGCGTTGCCCGTTCTGGGTTGGGTTGGATCGCATTGCCCGCTCTGGGTCGTCCGCCTCTTGAAATGAGTGTTCAAATCTCGATCAGTCTGACCACAAGCCGGGCCCAGGTCGTCGCATTGCCCGTTTGGGTTGGGCCGGCCAACTATAGCTCCGCCCTGCGCTGGGAAATCCCTTGAGCTGAGGTTCCAGTCGGAGCTCTGCGAGACGCCAGCCACAACCAGGCTGGGCGCGAGCCCGATGTGCAGATCGCGGGCGCCGGGGGCGCAGCTCGTGAGAGCGTTCGGGGCTCAAGAGACGGGGGTCAGTGCGAGCGGGGGTCAGCCAGAGCGCCAGATCTTGCGGGATGCTGCAGAGCCAGGGGTGCACTGACCCAGGTCAGGGTGCAGGATCCTGCAGGATCTTGCGCAGGATCTCGCAGGATCCTGGAAGGCCTGACTGACCCGGGTTTGCACCGATCCAGGTCAGTGCGCCCCCGTATCGCTTCTGCTTCTGCACGTGGGGCCTCTCCGAGGCCCTCGAGCCCCTCGGGGGTATCCAGCGCCAGCTTCGTCCGGCCTGCGGTCATCCCCGGCGGCGGATTCCCGAGGCTCGTGTGGTGAGGCTTCGGGTGGCGCGCACGCAGCCTCCCCAGGGTAGTCCCGGCTGGCTTCAACAGGCCCCCCGAGTATAGTCCGGGGCAGTCTCAGCATCTCGAGGGCCCCGCCAGAGGCGGCGCCAAGGCGCTGAGGCTGCCCCGGGCTGCTCGGTGGGGCCTGTGGAGGCCACCTGGGGCTGCCCGGGGGCTTGTTGAGGCCAGCTGGGGCGGGCTGCCTGGAGGGGCTGTCTGTGCGCAGCCCGAAACCTTCCCAGGCTCGTGTTGCGCTGCGGTCCGTGGCCAGTGTCGGCTCCAGCGGCAGCCGCGCTTGCAGTTTCGGCGGCGCAAGGCCCTTGGGGCGCCCGCTTCGTTAGGTCTCCTGCGCAGCGGGGGCCCGATGCCTCACGGCGTGCTGGGTACGGCGCGCGGCTCGGCCGTGCTGTCGCGGCCCGCGGGGTGGAGGCTGATCGCGAGCCTGCTTGCATACGCGCCCTCCACAGCTGGCGCCAGCGCGCACGAGTGGGCCTGGTGCGTGGACTCGCTTGGGGACTGTCTTGCGGTGGCGCACAGGCTTCTGAGGCAGGCGGAGGAGGTGGAGCGCGCCTTCGAGACTGTTCGGGGCGTGGAGGTCCTAGACGTGGTGGTCGTTGGCGGCGCCCACGAGCTTTGCGCCACCAGCAGAGTCGCCGCTAGGGTGTCCCGCCAGCAGTACGAGGACTCGTGGACAAGCGCCTACGACTCATCTGGGAACCTGGAGGCGGTGTTCAACGGCACTTGCTTCGCGGCATCGCCCAGCGAGTGTGCGGAGTTGGTGCAGTGTTCGGATCCCCGCAGGACTTTCCCACAGGAAGTCGACCCTTCCACCGGGCTGCACCGCTTCGTGCCAGAGCCGGGCGCAGTCAACCATACCCTGTGGGCGGCCTGCCAGGAGGCCGCACTGGCCTGGCAGCTGGAGCAGGCCGCGCTGCTCGATCTGCTGGCCCTCCAGAGCAGCGACCAGGACTCCGAGCAGGCCACGCTGCTGAAGGGCCAGCTGCGGGAGGCCGCCTCAGAGGTGAGCGACAAGCTGCTCGGGACCACCGGCGGCGTCGGCCTGGCCGCGCTCGCGCTGTGGCGAGCGCAGCGCTTCTCGCAGCTCGTTGACCCTTCGACTGCACCTGCCCCGGTCGACGGCTCTGGGCAGCTTCCCGTCAGCCTGCAGGGCCTCGCCAGCGCGGTCGAGGGCTTGGCCCTGGCCGCGCAGCAGGTCCAGGGCTCTCCGTGCAGCGCGGGCACGGACTGGGCCACGCTGCACGGGAGGGTCGTGGACGAACTGTCCCAGCAGACCGAGGTGTTTGCCGCCGTGAACGCTTCGCTGCTGCTGGACCCTGCAGGTTTTGACTACGCGCAGCGGGCCTCCGAGGCTGTCGCCGTTGGGGCAGCGGCGGCGCTGCAGGCAGCAGCCCTGGCTGCCCTCACAGAGTTCAATTGCCTCACGAGTTACGACCCTTTCAACGTAGCGATTCGGGACATGTCGCACCTGCGGAATGCTGCCCACTCACTTCTGCAGCGGCTTTGTGCTGTGCTGCCGCGTCCAGAGGTGGGTACCGCGTCGTCAGCGCCCGTGCAGGAGTGCTTCGCCCTGCGCGTCGAAGCGGCAGCCGCAGCAGTGCAGTCTGCCGCGGCAGGCGCCTCAACGGCGCAGCTCCTGCCTCTGGACTTCTGCAGCCGCCTGTTCAGCGCCACAGCGTACGTGATCGTCGAGGTGAGCCCGTATACCGGGGCGGCTCCCCAGGGCGCCGATCTGACCTTTCTGTCCACGGGTGGCGAGCAGCGGCGCACCTACGCGGTTGCGGGCGGCGTTGCTTACATGAGCCCGTACGTCAGCTTCGCCGATAGGCTTCGGGAGCGAAAGAAGGACGTACACTTAAGGCGGGCATGTCCCTCTACATGAGGAGTATTCAAGAATAGTAGAACACTTCTTTTCGTGCTCAATTGACTATGCGTGATTACTTTTGGATTCTTTTCAATCCGTCATCCAAAATCCGCCAGTAGGAGAAAGTACCCGTACATAGATCCACGTCTGAGTCGAGAGGGCGCATTGCGTGAACTTTGGTATCGCGCAGGTGGTCTCGCGGACTGGGGGGCCGTGTTCATGTACGTGGGTGGGCGCGTATGTCCTTTGTGGGCTCCCCAAGGCTGGTGGACGACAGCACTTCTTTTGCTTCAGGGGACAAAGTGGTGGAGCTTCGCAGCATTTCAGACGGGAGCGTTCACAGGATCGGAACCACACCAGAGCAGGTTCATTGCACCAGCGACCAGGCGTTGTCGTGGTTTGCAGCTGGTGACATGGTCGGCAGCTGCGATGCAATGAATGTGACTGCTTATCTCAATGGGGACCCATGTCGTGTTCCTGGCTGCTACAGGGTATCGAATTGCGAACCTGCTTCTAGAGGGACATACACAACAGACGGAAGCACTACAATTCGATGCCCCAGGCCATCTCCACCGGGCAGTGTGCTGTGGTACGCGGAGGGGTGGCCCAACCGTTCGTGCCCATTCGTCTGCATACATTTCGACGAGCACCCCAGCGGAGCTGAGTGCAGGAGTGCCGCGGACGGCTACTTCTCTCCAACCTGCAGCAACACGCTGGAGCCCTGTGCGCAGCCTGGAAACGTGGACAGCGCGCTCTCTCGAGCGCTCGCACGTTTTGTCTCGCCCGGTTTCGGGAGGGCGGACGGCTGCGAGATGACTCTGGCATTCCCGCTGGTTGCGGGGCCCGTGGTTCCGCAGTTCGCCCCTCCCTTCACGGCCGAGGCGTGGGTCAGCATCGCGGTGGACGCGATCCCTCACTCGAGCGCGAACGTGCCGAGCGTGGCTGTTATCCTCGGGGTGTTCCCCCGATGGTATCTGGCATTGAGCCGCGCTTCGTGGAGCATGGTGAGCGTGGGGTTTTATTTAATCGCTTCGCTCATGCCGCCGGCCCTGGAGCGCTATTTGGGGCCTCCTGGGGCCGTCTTGGGGGCTTCTTGGGGGCTTCCTGGGAGCGTCTTGGGGCTCCTTGGCGGCGTATTGGGCTCCCCTGGGGCCTCTTGGGGGGCTCTTGGGGGGCCCTTGGGGCGGGAGGGGGGGTAGTCGATTGCAGCCCCCCCCCCTCGGAGGCCACGATCCTCGTGAGGGAGCATGGTGAGTGTGGGATTTTATTCTCTTGCACAGCTGTGCTCTAGAGCTCGGACATCTTTATTCTCTTGCACAGCTGTGCTCTAGAGCTCGGACATCTTTATTTTCGTGTCGTGTCGTGTCCTTCGTCCCCCTGCCCCCCCCCCTGCCCCCCCCCCGTCCAGGCTCCCCAGGGCAGCCCCCCTGGGCCTCGGACACATTTATTTTCGTGTCGTGTCGTGTCGTTCGTCCCCCTGCCCCCCCCCCTGCCCCCCCCCCAGGCTTCCAGGGCAGCCCCCCTGAGCCCGGACACCTTTGTGCAAGAGCCAGGGCACGCGTGCCACTTGTTTTCGTGTCGTGTCGTGTCGTTCGTCCCCCTGCCCCCCCCCCCTGCCCCCCCCCCGTCCAGGCTCCCCAGGGCAGCCCCCCTTGGGCCTCGGACACTTTATTCTCTTGCACAGCTGTGCTCTAGAGCTCGGACATCTTTATTTTCGTGTCGTGTCGTGTCGTTCGTCCCCCTGCCCCCCCCCGCCCAGGCTCCCCAGGGCAGCCCCCCGTCGGACACCATTTATCGTGTCGTGTCGTCGTTCGTCCCCCTGCCCCCCCCCCTGCCCCCCCCGCCCAGGCTTCCCAGGGCAGCCCCCTGAGCCTCGGACACCTTTGTGCAAGAGCCAGGGCACGCGTGCCACTTGTTTTCGTGTCGTGTCGTGTCGTTCGTCCCCCTGCCCCCCCCCTCTGCCCCCCCCCGCCCAGGCTTCCCAGGGCAGCCCCCCTGAGCCTCGGACACCTTTGTGCAAGAGCCAGGGCACGCGTGCCACTTGTTCCAGAGGCTCACCCCATTCCGCCGACCCCCAGAGGACGAGATGTGCGGCTGCCGATCTGGTATGTGGCGTCAGCCATGTCGCTGTTGCTGATTCGTCCTCCTCTTCCTCCGCGTCAGTTGCGGGGACGCGGGGGTCTCTTGGAGGCATCCGGGGCGGCCTCTTGGGACCTTCTCCAGGAATCCTGGCGGCTTTCGGTTCCCCCGGAGGCTTCACGGGGGCCTCTTGGGGGCCTCTTGGGGGTCATCTCGTGGGCGGTGGCTCTCCTGGGCCCCCTGGGCCTCTTGGAGGTCACCTCTGGGCCTCTCCTGGGTCCCTCTAAGGGGCCGTCTTGGGGTCTCTATTTGGCGGTCTTGGGGCGCCTCTTGGGGCCGTCTTGGGCCGTGCTGGGAGGGCCCCGCATGCCGCCCGGGGCCTGCAGAGAAGGCCCGCAGAGGCGAGGACGCAGAGGCGAGACCGCGCAAGCATCGAAGCACGGCACTTCCTCGAGAATCGGTGTTCGAGAGGAAGACTCAGGAGGGGAAAAACACACAGACACAATTCATTGTCGATCCCCTGGGAAATATGGGAAAATATGGGAAGTGGGGGGGAAGGCAAAAACCCAGAAAATATGGGAAAATATGGGGAATCCTTTTATTAGTGTGTATGTATTTGTGTGTCCTAGGGGCCCTTCAAAGACGTTGTGCTCCTTTTTGCTGTTGTTACAGGGCCCGTTGGAACACTCTGCACGCGGGCACGTGCGGGTTCACGGCTTCCTGTCGCCGCTCCGTTTCACGCCGTTGCGCAGCCTTGCGGTGTTGCGCTGGGGGAACAAGAACTTCTCGAGAGTCAATGTTCTGTGTTGCGGCCCCTCTTGGGGGTTCTCTTGGGGCCCCTCTCGGGGCGTCTCGGGGACGCCTTGGGGGCCCCGGATGCCGTCTTGAGGTCATCTGCGGGGCTCTCCGGGCCTCCCCGGCGTGTTGGGCGAGCACCCCACACGCCTTTCTCACCCCCGGCAAGCGTGAGTCGGCGGACCACGCAGACATCACGCGCTCGAGCAGCACCCGCGAGGACAGCATCGTGCTCTCCGAGCCGACAACCTGGAGTCAGGTGTGGAGGCACGTAGCCGTCGTTGTCTCGAGCTCCTCGGCCAGCTCCCCGAATGTGTTCTTCTATGTGGACGGGGAGCTGATCTCTTCTGCCAGACGATCTGCCTCTGCTCTGGTGCAGCCGCTGCCCGCGGTGCACCCGGACCAGAACGGCGTCTTCCACGTAGGGCCGCCGAACATGGACGCGGTAATGTTTCCCGACGTTCTCGAGGAGGGCCGCACAGAGCCGTACTTCGATCTGCCTGCCAGCGAGACGTTCTTCGACGCGTTGGTGGATGAGGTCCGCGTGAGCAGCACAGCGCTCGACGGCCTGGCACAGGGAGCGAGGCTGACGCAGCTCCGTCGCCTGACCGTGTGCGACGTTCCCAGCGAGCGCCTCGAGGGCTCCACTTGCCTGCCGGCCGCACGGCTCACGCCGCCCTACGCCGTGATCGACCAGTCGGCTTGCCAAGAGGGCTACGAGGAGTGCGGAGCACGGCCCGGCATGTGCGTCCCGACCTGTGGCCCGAGCACGCTGCGCCAGCACGACTGCAGCTGCGACTGTCAGCCGGGGTACTTCCAGGCCTGGCTGGCGAAGGCTCTGCGCCTATCAGGTTCTGGCAGCGTTGGCGCTGTCATCGTCTACGGCGTCCAGCACAGCGTCCTCGGCAGCCTTCCCGATGGAGGCTCTCTGCCCCTCAGCTTCGTGTTCGAGTCGGCCAAGCAGGTGGCTTTGCTGACGGTGGTGGGCGTCGGCTCAGCAACTTCGGTGACTTTGGAAATCGAGACAGCCCAGGGCATGATAGTGCCAGTCCCGGAGTGGACCAGCGTGCCCTTGCCTTCCGATCAGGTTTTTGTCGTGCACCACCGGCGACTCCATGATCTCTTCGACCCCGCGCTCACGTGCGCGATCTGCCCCACTGGCTCGGGCCAGGATGTTTTCGCCTCGCAGTTGCCGCGCCTCGATCTGATGGCTTGCCTGTGTGGCCAGAATTTCGGCCGTGATATGCTTGGGCGTTGCGTGCCCTTGGAGGCGGCGCTGCAGGCGCCAGAGATCTCCCCGAGCGAGGGTTTCCACTCCCCCGGCACGCCAGTGCACCTGGCGCACTCGGTTCTGGACGGCGAGTTGGACACCCCTTGGTTGCTGGAGGTGCGCTACGAGCTGGGCATGAAGGGCCTGTCCGCCGCGGCGCCCTCTTGCGTATCCTCGCCCGTGTTCGATGGTGACCTCGATGTCGTCCAGAGGCAGGAGACGACAGAGATCCGCGCGGTGCTGTGCCACCCGCTCCACTACGCCTCGGCAGTGGCGGTCGCTACACTTATCGGGAATGACCATATGGCCCCTCCAGAGTGCACGAAGACGGGCACGGTGTCGGAGTCCACGGACTCCATCTGGGCACTCAACGTGACCCTGGAGCTCACTGTCAGCGGCGTGTCTGATGCCACGATCTACTACGTCCTGGACGGGGTGGAAGAGGTGTATCGCGGGCCCGTCGTCCTCACCGCGCCAGGCTTTGGACAGATACAGACGTGGGCGAAAAAAAGTGGGTTTGACGACAGCGTCAAAGCGACCTGCTCGTACGCCATCGATGGTGAGGCGCGGGCCACCATCGCCCCCGTGTGGCCGCAGCCAAACGTGCAACTGGGGGGCTTCGTGTCCGCCGACCAGGCGTTTCTGGTGCAGCGGGGGGCGAGCTCGGTGGAGTTCGAGCTGGGCCCGGGCGGTGGCACGCTGCAGCAGCCGGCGCGGTTCCAGTGGCGTGCGTGGCGCCTCGGGGAGCCGGGGCGCTGGAGGGACGACATGCCCGTCCACTTGCCCGTGGACTGGAGCTCGGAGGCGGGGGCCGATCGGGTGCTGAAGGTGGAGTGCCGCGTGAAGGAGGCGGGCCACGTGTGGTCGACGCCAGCGAGCTTCCAATTCCTCGTGCTGGGGCTCACGGATCCGCCGCTTGTCCAGGCCTCCCCGAGCCAGGCGTGGGGCGTCGGCGCGCAGTGGGGCGAGGGACCCGCGAGGGAGGCGGCGCTGCAGCAGGTCCACCGGGTGACCATCGAGCGCCCGGAGCGCGGCGCGTTCGTCTACTTTGCCGTCACCCACGGCTCGTGGGACATGGGCGGGCACCGCCTTCTCGCGGTCAGCACCTCCGACGTGGCCTCCGTGGCTGCCGGCGGGGTCGTGGAGCGCTTCGAGGAGCACCACCTCTCCGGCCATGCGCCGGAGGATGTCCAGGAGCAGTGCGACCCCGCGCGCGGGTCGCCCGACAGTCCGCGCCTCTGCGCGTACGACGGCGTCTTCGAGGTCTTCGGCGGTCTCACGGTCACGGCCTTCGCGTGGGCGGGCGGCTCGCTCGAGAGCGCGGCGGTGGCCGAGCTCGTGCCGTTGCGGCTGGACCCCAGGCGCGACGACCCAGAATTCCAGGCCACGGTGGTCAATCGCGGCAGCTCTTGGGTGGACATCAGCGGTGTTCCTGCGCTGAAGGTTCTTCCCTCCAGCGCCGTCCGTCTGGACGTCCAGCTGAGTTACGACGGCGAGGGCTCGGCGGCGCAGACGTGCATCCTGGCCTCCCGATTCAGCCACTCGGGCGGCTCCGTGGACGTGGCTGCGACTTTGGACGGCTGCTCTTGGTCAGAATACAACGGCCCAATGAGCGTGCAGCTGGCCAGCGCCGCCGAGGGTGCCGGGCTCGGCCCAGGCGAGAGCGTGAACGTGACCGTGCTCACGACGGTGCGGCGGGCGGGGTACCTGTGGGCGTACCCGACAGGCGTGAGCTTCCTCTTGCTGCGGGAGAGGACGGAGGCTCCGTCGGTCTCTGGGGTGCAGGGGTCGACGGCCAGCGCGAAGGTGATGGCGATGGTGTGGCTGACTGGGCAGGCCTTCGGCTCGAGCCCCGAGTGCTATTTCACTGTGCACCACGAGCAGGTGCCCGAGGGGATCTCGCTCGCAGAGGTGCCGGAGGCGACGGTCACTGTCGCCGACTGGCCCAGCGCCCTCAAGGCCACGAGCGTTCGGAGCAGCGCGGCCATCAGAGAGACCTGGGAAGAGGACGTGGGCTCCTGCGCCTGGGGCGACGGGAAGATCTGCCGGCTGGAGCTGGACGAGACCGAGCGGTTGCCTTCATCGCTAATGCAATATGCTGGTACCGCATCCGCCGCCACTTTGATATCCTTGGGACCGCGGCTGGCCCTTTCAGTGGTTGATGGAGAAAATCGGGGAGGAGGAATGAGAGAGGGGGGAGGAGCGACGGAGGGGGAGGGGGACGAGGGGGATAAGGACCAGGGCCTCTCTTGTGGCTTCTCTTGTGCTGGTTGACACCGCCCACAAGGTCTTGGAGCCTCTTGGGCCGCCTGGCTGTCTCGCCGGGGCCTTCTCTGCTCATCTCTGGGCCGTCGTGGGGGCCGTCTTGGGGGCTATCTTGGTTTACCTTGTTGAGGGATTCTCGCAGGCAGTCTTGGGGTCCTCGGAAGATTTTGTGGAGCGCAGAATCACGGAAAGCAGCAGTCAATGATGTGCGCTCTTCTGTTGGATCTTTGCCATTTTGGGTCTCTCTTTGGCCCTCTTGGCTCTTGGCGCCTCTCGTGGGACCTCTCGCGGGCCTCTCTGAGGACATTCCGGGACCATTCGAACTGTCTTGGAAGCCTCATGGGCAGTCCTGGCGGCCGCCCGACGACGCATGCTCTCCCTGGCGCCTTCCAGACACCTCCTGGGTACCGTTGCCCCTCGAGTCGCGAACACCGGCTCTCTGGGGGGGTGAAGGGTGCAGGGGAGGAGAGTCCATGGCCCGCGCTGGTACCCCAAGGGGTCGGCGAATCCAGACGAGCGCGGACCTGCCCTATGTGTGTGCTTGGGCCGTCGTGCGCGGGCGCCTGGGCTCCGCGCCGACGTGCGTCCGGATGGACGCCGGCGCACTCAGGGCGCCGGTGGCGCCCAGCTTCGTGCCGCGCTCCGCCGCCGACGCGGCGCGGGCCGGGGCCGCCGCCTCCCTCGCTGGGAGCCTCGGCGCCCTCGGTGGCGACGCGGTCACCCTGGGCGGCGGAGCCGCCGCGCGCTCGCGCTGGGCGGGCGCGGGCGGACGCTCCGGCGCCGCAGGCTTGCCGGTGTTCTTGAACGACAGCCTCCCGCTGCAGCACCGCCACGCGGCGGTGGCGGTGGACGCGGCCGCACTTCTGGCCGGCACGCCCGCCGAGCAGCTGCTGGACGGGGCGACGTTCACAGAGCCGGTCCTGCTGGGGTCGGCAGAGGTGCCGGTGACGGTGCCCCACCCTGCTGGCGCCTCCGGCTCCGACCACGTGCTCTTCGCCGTGAGCACGAGGTCCCTGGAGTATGTTGCCGACGGGCTGAAGCAGTGGGGCCAGGAGGGCCTCCACTTGTGTGTCGCGCTGCAGGGGCAGCACCCTCCGCTCGGCATGGAGCGCACTGGCAGGACCGTGCGGCTGCAGAGCCCTCGGGCCGGGAGTTCCATCCTCTTCCGCTGGAGCTCTGGCAAGCTGGAGGAGCCGCTGGCAGCAGATGGCGGCCCGGCGGTGGGCCTCGAGGTGGGCTTCGCCTCGCTGCAGGAAGCCTACCAGATCCGCGTGCAGGTGGTGCAGCACGACCCGAACGTCACCCTGCCACAGTGCTTCCTGGCGGCGGGCGCGTCCAGCGCCCAAGCGCCTGTCCTGTGCCAGGGCGGCGAGAGCGTAGACGTGGAGCCCCCAGACGGTGGCAGGTGGTCACCACCCACCAAACCACCCCAACCCAACCCGAAGGCCCAAATTTATCATCGATTTCCAGTGGGGGGGGGTCGGGGAACATTGAAATTAGCTTGACGAAGGACCCAACCATGTGCAGTTGCGAGTACCGCATTGTGGGTACCGGTTTCGGTGAAGCTCCTATGGGGCCACGGAACTTGTGAGGGGTGCGCCGAATTTGGTGGCGCGGACGCATGTGGACACCGCCACTGGGGCCTTCGGTGTAGCAGCTCCCTGTGGGGCTACGAAACGCTGCCCTGGGCGAGGGAGACGCATGCGAACTGCGCCATTGGGACCTTCGCTGGAGCTCCTTATGGGGCCACGAAGCGCTGTCATAGGGGGGAGAGACGCATGCGAACTGCGCCTCTGGCGCTTTCGGTGGAGCTCCCTATGGGGCCACGAAGCGCTGTCCTGGGTGGGGGAGACGCATGCGAACACCCCGATTGAGGCCTTCGGTGGAGCTCCCTAATTATGGGGCCACGAAGCGCTGTCCTGGGTAAGGGAGACGCGTGCGAACACCTCCACTGGGGCCTTCGGTGGAGCTCCCTATTGGGCTACGAAACGCTGCCCTGGGTGGGGGAACCGCATGCGGGCACCTCCACTGGGGCCTTCGGTGGAGCTCCCTATGGGGCCACGAAACGGTGCCTTGGGTGGGGGAACCGCATACCGGCCCCCCCCCTGGGACCTTGGGTGGAGCTCCCCATGGGGCTACGAAGCGCTGCCCTGGGTGGGGGAACCGCATGCGGGCACCCCCACTGGGGCCTTCGGTGGAGCTCCCTATGGGGC